AAGGCACCCAGGCCTTTGTGCCCTTGGCTCTGGCAGCTGCCTCTGCCCCTCAGGCCACCACAAGACACTTTCCTTTGTCTGCCTGCACTCCTGGCCTGCAAGGATCTGCTCTCAGGAGTCCCTGGGGAGGCTTTGTCAGTGCCTGCCCTCAGTGGGGCCCAGCAATGCTTCAAGGGACTGGGAATTTGGCTTCTGACTTTTTGAGCAGCTTCTTCATTTTTCTCTCAGTAGTTGAGGACAATGGATTTGTCTCTGAACACACTGTGGGACTCATTAGAATTCAGAAAAACAAATTATTTTCTTTCCTTTAATTATCTTCGTGTTTTCAATTCTTCAAGAACTAATTGGAGTTGTTTTGTAGTTTAGCTAATGAGGAAGATTTTAAAGTGGAAGCCACAAAAATATAATTTTCTATGAAAGGCAATGATTTACACAGAACCTTCAGGATGCAAGAGAGTCAGAGTGCAAAGGATTTGGTCACAAAGATAAGGGGGCAAAAGTGTTTCATAGCATATAATTATTGACCAACTAATTGTTATCAAGCGATTCAGTATAATTTGTTACAATTGAACAGTGACTGAATTATAGATTCACAATAACAACACTCACACCACAGTTAATTCACACCCACACCCAGGCAGAGATCTGTGGACACATCAGGATCTGGGGTTTGGCTTCTGACTTCTCGAGCAGCTTCTTCTGGGTGTGTAAAGGTCCCTCTCCAAAATTCTCCCTGTTGTCAGTGAAACCCTCCCACACATCCCTTTGTGTTTCCCACCAGACAAGGGTCACAGGTGGAGGAGTGTTTGTTGAGGGGGATCAGAATTGTCCTGGGCATCAGCGACACTCTTTGGAGTGTTGCAAACTGGAGGGTTCCCGAGCTCCGAGAGGCTGCGAGAGGTGTCCCACTGAGAGGGAGGTGCTGGGGAGCTCCCAGGGCCTCCCTCAGCACCGCTGGCTTTGGGCTCACAAGGGCACCGGCTTTGGTTATCTGCTGAATTTCCATTCTCAGTAACAACTGGAGTTTCCAAAATATTTGGGAATTGTATCCAAACTGTTCCATTTGGGTTATGTTTCAGGTAGAGAATGTTTCAAGGCTTTCATGGGGTGACTCATTATCCTGTGTTCCCCAGCTCTCACACCAACCTAAGTCAGCTGGATGGTTTATTGCCAATGTGTCCCAAGGGTCGACACCTCCAATGCAATAGAAATCCCTCCCCCTGCATTACAAAACATTTTGAATTCATGAGGTGTTCAAGTGGAGCAGGAAAATGAACAACAACTTTACTAAAACAAAGAACCATCAAAAATAAAGCAAGGATCCTGCAGTTACAGAGAAAACATCCCTCCAATGCTTCTGTCCCCTCTGGCCGCTGAGGTGGCAGCGCAGGCCCGAGGCCTGTTTCTGCTCTGCTCTCACAATACCTAAAAAATGGTCAGAGAATACAAACAATGCCAGCTCTCTGTGGTGAGTTACTGCTGGTGTCAAGGTGCTGGTTTTAATGCTGAATTCTGCTAAACCCAAAATGCTTCATGAAACTTCCAAAACATCACCTTCTTTTTGAAGCAGGATTGGACAGATAAGCTGCTCCCTGGCCTGGAAATATGTCTGGCAGTCAAACCCTTTCTAACTATAAAAGCCCCGTCCAACTTTCATGTGGCAGATTCTTCCCCAGACTTCCTTGAAGTGCGTGGAGCTTCTCCCATGAAGCAGGGACAGCTCTTCATGGTCACTGCCCAGGGGTTAAGTGAAAGA